CAATCCCATTGATGGGATTCTTTCGCCATTCCTTCGCCCTTTCTCCAGCAAAAAGGTGGACTATAACCCCTTTTGAGGTGAGCAGCCTCCTTCTTTTGTGCCGGTTCCATGGTAAATCATGGTTCATTTGCGGATCTTCTTCATCTTGAACCCGCATGTAATTCCAAATTCTGTCCGGTGTTTCCGGAAATCGTGATCCCCACCACTTCTTGGTCTTCTCCGTGGGCTCTTCCAAGGTGAGCCGATGGTTGGTCCTCTTTTCCATTTCCATGTGCTCAATCTCAGTGATCAGAGCCAGAGCGTGGTCCTTTCGAACCACTGGACACCCAGACCTTAACCAACATTCTATGTTTCCCAGTCGTGGATGTTTCACACCACATCCTGCACGGGACCAAGTGATGGTGTATCCCAATTCCACCAAACCTCGAAGAGGTACAATTGGTTCCACCGGTCCCTCCGACAAGAGGGTTCCATTCACAGGATTTTGATAGAGCTGAGCAGCTCCATGTGCGAGTTCCACAGTGACCTGCACCGCGTTCTTGATCTCCTCGGTTGATCCCTGTCTCAAGGGGTGTGTCGCCCCACCATCCAATAAACCTGTTCCATCATCAAATTCAACTTCGAGATGATCCCCACCATGCCCCACCGATTTCAAGACCGGTCCATTGAGACCCTTCAAAAGGTTGGTCACTTCTCCCACAACCTTGTTGGCCTCCTCTGGTACAGGGGTTATAGTGACCGTGGACTCCTTCATCGGATTGATCTTCACGGTAGGTTCAGAATGTTCTTGAGCAGCACCTCCCTCTTTTCCGGGACCATTTTTCCTCTCTTGAGATCTTGAGCGGATTCTTGTGGTTTTGGCCACCTTTGGTTCCTCGGATCCACCTTGTGGACCTCGTGACTCACTTCGTTTTCCCGCCGGACAATCACGTCGGGAGTGTCCCCTTCCAGAACAGTTGAAACATCGGCCATCTTTGGAGTCCAGGACAGTGTGCGTGAATCGGCACCGGTCAGCATATTGGCATCCCTTATCTGTCAGCCAATTGATGCACGCAGTCTTGTGGACCACATTAGCCGCGTTAATCGGCAGCTCGGGCTTTTCTCCCCTCCTTCCGGTGGAAGAACCTGCTGCGTCTTCTGGTTTTCCCTTTGAAGCGCCCTTTGGTGGGTTTCCAGATGAATCCGGCCCACTCATTGACTTCACCCCTACCACATTATTGGGTTTAGCCGCTGGGCCCTCTGTTATGTTCCCCGGTTGACGGAGAGCCATTTCACCAGCTTCAGCTTGAAGAAGTTCAGAAAACGTTCTGATCTCTTGCATTCCCGGCCGGAGATCTATGCCCAAATGCTGTCTCACCGAAGACAACCGGTAGGCAGCTTGAGCTCCCCCCAATCTGGCCAAGGCATCACTCCTTTTTGCGACCACTCCGGCCAAAACCAGAGGATCGGGCAAAACCAATTGAAGTTCTTCGGCACGAACCACCCATCTTCTCCACTTCCGGATGGAGTTGACCATCTCTGCAGCATTATTAGATGGACATTTCCAGTCCACCAACATTTGCAGCAGGGCAGTTCTTTCCACTTGTCCCCCAGGTTGGAAGACGGTGTACAGCTTGAACATGACTTGACCCGCTGACATGTGTCTGTTCGCCACAAGGTCCTCGTAGATGTCCTTGGGGACGGCTTGAAGGAGCATACCCACCACCCGTTTCTCTGTGCGAGGCCACCTACGGGCCATGTCAGGTATCACAGGCGCCATCCGGAGCCTCATGAGTGGATCCGCTTGCAACCAGTGGTGGTATGCTTGTTCAACAGCAGTCATCACTACTTCCCACCATTGCTCTGAGGTGTAGCTCACATCCCCAATTATCTGTTGGGCAACTGTCAGCCAGTCTCCAAAGTCCAAAGATGTTGCATTCCTGTCCAGCTTCGGCAATTCGACCGATCTTAGCGTTTCGCCTGGTACTTCTCCCCCTGCCTGAGGTCCTGCTTGGACTACAGCTTGTTGTTGTTGTGGCGGTGCAGCTTGTCCTGGATTTCCTTGATGACCACCTGGGAGACCGGGATTTCCCTGATGACCACCTGGCGGACCAGGTGCTTGTCCGTGATTTCCATACTGCCCTGGCGGTGGACCCCCTGGCCAACCATAACCACCCATAGGTCCGGTGTTTCCTCCCGGAAATGCAAAAACCCCTTGAGGTCGATGATCTTGTCCTGCAGGTGCTCCTCCAACATGGACTTGAGGATTATACCATTGATTAGGTTGGTCACCGATGAAAAAGTGTTTTGTGTTTTCCGTGGCTCCCATGCAAGGAACTCCCATCGGTGGTCTTGACGCCGCTCTCTGCGGCATACCTCCCGGTGGTATTCCAATTAGCCACCCTTGATTCATATACACATCCATCGGCCGAAAACTTTGTTCGACCTTGGGCGCAGGAGGAACATTCCACAACTGACCTCCCGCCTGCATTTGAAGATCTTGATCATGGTGATGTTGAACTCCTGGAACTGGTTGATCTTGCACATGTTGTACCTGGGGTGGAACACCTTGAGGTGGCCCCACAGGAAAACCCTGCTCGACATTCTTCAGCTCCGGCGAGGCGGTTTGATAAGACCCCCCACTTGACTGAGAGCCCTTACTTGACTGAGAGCCCTTGTGACCTCCTCCGGCTTCTCGGACCCGTTCCAGGGCACGTTTCTCTTCCCGCGTGGCTAACCAATTTTCTCGATCTTGTTGGATCTCGGTCTTGCCCCGTTGAAAGAATTCCATCATTTGCTGTTTCAACTCCTCATACTTTTCCTTCTCCCTCGCGTCCGCCTGATCAATCAGGTCTTGCGACACTATGGGATAAGTCAGCTCTTTCACTGGAGTTTGTGGACTGCTCATTAGAGCTTCCACTCGCTTGGCAGCACTCCATGGATTCGTTTCCTCTGCAGCCATGACCCCGGTTACAACCCCAGGATCCACAACCGCCGTTCCCCACTGAGGCACCATTCCCGTAGGTGGCACTCCAGCACACATGGATTGCTGGGACATCCCAGCTGCCTGCAAACCCTGTGTTCCACCAGTTGCAGTATACACCACAGGTGCTCCCGCCGGCTGGTAGATCATAGGTGAGCCTGTTGGTGCCGCTGGCACCGATTGTTTAACGCGTGCATCTTCAGGAGACTCAACAGGTGAACGTCCCGGTCGCTCCAAAAGAGCAACGGTTTCCACAACAGCAGCCGCACCTCCACTCACTTCAGTTGAGCTTTGGTGTTTTCCACCCTGTCCTTCTTCTCGATTACCCACAACAGGTGGTTCACGAAATCCCTCAGACATCCGGGCAACTACTGGTGTTTGTGTCATAGGCACTCCCGAAAGAGTTAAACTATCCACACCTGGGGTCAAACCAGACAACAGACCGCCACTCCCATTTCCTCGTGCCACTTCAAGTCCAGGAGGTTCTTCAGGTGGTAAGGACACTGGTCTTGCGACTTCTTCCGCAACAGCCGGATTCTGGGCGATTCGTTCGCCCGCTCCAGCCCGGACCGCCGCAACCTGCACTAGGGCTCCACTTCCCCCAGCACCGGTCAATGCCATCACACTTTCTCCAACTTCCCCTTCCATCAGTGATCTTCGGGTTGAGTCTGATGATCTTGTCCCTGTTCTTTCCCCATGTGCTTGTCCAGGTGCGTCCATCTCCGCCAGAAGCCGGTCCAGCATTTGGTCTGCCGTTTCCGCGCGTTCTTCTTTTCCATGTCCATGGGTCCCATGTTGTACTTCTTCAGCATGAGCAGCCGCTTGAACTTGGCGTTCTTGTCGACGACGCTGAGTGAAGTCGCTGCTCGACATTGCTTCAAGGCAGCGTTGGGGTTGGGCTCATAACCCACGGGTTTCAGACTATGACCGAGACCCTTCCCGGAGGTCCCCACCAAGAGGCAGATGCAAGTGCACTTTTTCACTCCAAGTTGGGCTCGGTAAATTGAGCCAGTCAGTTGATTGGCCCTTGAGCCAAGTTGCAACAGTCGGAGGACGTCTCAACGACTGTGAAAACTTTAAAAAGACCTTAGTGGGGGTGCAGTGGTACTCTGTGCATGTTTCCCAAACCGCAGTTTCATTGAAAATTCAGCAGCGGTGTCAAGTAGAACAGGGTCAGATATATACATGGATATGATGTAAAAGTTCCATCTGGCTGCCTTGACACGCCGTGTGAGGAGGTAATCGGGAAGCTGTCCAGAAATTATCGCAAAAGGAATAGGAACCAGGGTTCTTGCCTTAATCGGGTCATAAAATTCTTTCGCATGATGTGATCATTTGATTGAGAACTCCGAAGCAGTGTTCTAGGAACCAGCAGAAGTTTGAAAATATGCTTGATGATTTTTGATTTATTGCCTTTATTGCCTTTTTCCACCGTTCTTTTTCTTTTGCTCAGGTACCTTGCCGTCTTCATCGTGCACATGCTGCAGGTGTGCGCGATGCGGTGACCAAGCTCTTGCGGTTGTCCCTGATGTTCGATGTGGCTGTTACCTTGGCTCAAGGTCCAAGCTTTGACTTATGATTGAAACAATCGTTCGAACGCCGGGTTACAGCTGCGGGGCGTTGGCAGGCGGTGCCGCGGGCCCCACGTCTTAGGACCCCTGGTGCGTTCCCTCCGTCTGCTTGCGCCTCCCAGCTGTTGCCTCCATCGCATGGCGCGGCTGGTGCGGATTTTGCTTCTCTACTGGGCTGGCCAGGAGGATGGGCATCACTCACTTCCCCGCCACGTCCGAACAAGTGGCTCCCAGCTCCAACACCTCCCTCTGTCCTTCGCAGCCCGTGCCGCGCATTGGGAGGAGGGCGCGGCGGAAGTTGACCAACGCCCTCAATGTTGCCTGGTCCGGCATCCGGATGCCTTCAAGTTTGCCCGCCCGGCAGCCGTGACTTCGCCAACGCTGGGGCTACTGCGGGGTGCGAGTCGGGGAGGCTTTGCACCCGGGGCCCTCCCCTGGCACACCCTTGCACCCCGCCATTGGTCGAGGCCGGTCCCCGAGCCCTGCTGATGATGCTGCACGCCCTCTTCGGCGCAGGGTGGGTCCACCACCTGATGTGGTGCGGTGCTTTTGCCCTGTCCCTGGTTGCGGGCATGCCGACGCCACTCGGGCCAGCGGATGGGGTTCTCACGACGCAATGCGGCATCACCTTGACGATCATTGCGCCGGGACCTTGGCGGGTGCAGTGCCCATGGAGTACTTGGACGCCCATCGCCTGGACCTTTGCTCGGTGTATGGGCTGTTGGTGGCGCGCCGGTTCAATGGCGTTCATCCCAGATGTCACCCACGTGCCGGCCAGCAGTTACCTAACCATAGGCCCGCCGGCCTGATGGACGCGGGGCTGCCCTCCCTTGACGGCATCATGGAGCTGGATGTCCCGACTCTCTGGCATGTCCCTCATGTTGCTCGGGGTGCGTGGGCACAATGCTTGGCCAGAGCCGCCAGCGCCGCTGCTGTTTCCAACACAGTGCCAGCTTGGCAAGAACTCCTCATGCTGCCAAAAGCAGTTCTGGTGGCGCCAATCCGTGGCGGTGCCCGCCACCATCAGCAAGCTGCCCTTGCCACGTTGCGCCGCTATCAGCGATGGCTGGCTGGTGAAGGAATGGACTTATGGAAGCAACTTCGGGCTCGGCCCATGGCCACTCGCTCAACCGCTAACAGTACCACTGCTACCCAGCACTCTCGATGCTGTGCTCTGGCGGCTGACGGGGAATTATTACGTGCATGTGCGGCCTTGACTGAGCCCGCCCCACTACCTCCTTCACAGGCCACCTTCGAGCAGCTGTCCGCCCATCACCCTCAGAGCGCAATGCCTGACGTCAGTCGGCTTGGCCCTCCCCGGCCAGCTGCGGTGCCAGAATTCTCGAGTGAAGCTGTCACCCATGAAGCTTGCAGGAGCCTCGATGGTCGGTACACGTCTGATTGGCCTTCTTCTGTGCAGGCGGCGGCCGCGTTTGATGCTGCCGTCTTTGCTTCCGATCATTTCCATGGAGTTCACCAACCCCGGCAGCAAACCTTGTCGGCGGCCTTGGACAAGGCCCAGCTTGCTCAGCTTCAGGTGTCGGCCGAAGGAGCATCCGAGCGGGCGCACCTTCAACTTCTTCAACAACCGGGCATCGGGGCGTGGCTGCTGGCCCGGCCTTCGAAAGCCCTTGGGCTTCACCTGGATGCTGCCTTTTTTCGCGTGCTTCTCCGCATGCGGCTCCGTGTTCCCGTTGCAAGCTCTGATGGCTATTGCCCCTTGTGCGACGGGATCGCGGACCGCTTCGGGGATCATGCTCGGGCGTGCCCTTGCGGCGGCGATCGCACGAAGCGCCACAACCGCCTCCGGGCGGTCGTCGCTGGACTCAGCCCTGAGGTCGAGAAACAAGGCTTGTTGCCTCAACGGCCGGAGGAGCGTGGGCTAGTGAATCTGGCAGACGCTGCGACCCGTCACAGCGACGGCCGGCTGATGTTTACATCCCTGCATGGGGGGCCCATGGGCCAGCAGCTTTTGATCTCGCCGCCACGAGTGGCATGCGAGGCTCAGTGCTTCCCGTCTCCGCTGCTTGTGGTCGGTCTGCTGCCACCAACTACGAAGGGAGAAAGCGAGCCCTCAGAACACGGAGCAGCACTGCCACGGCCAAGGCCTCCAGTTCGTGCCTCTTGTGGTTGAAACTTGCTGTGGTGGGTGGGGCCACACCGCTTCTGCCATTTGGAAAAAATTTGGGGCGTTGCATGAAGCTTGCAATCGGGCTGACGGCGTCCCAGGCTGTTGAGCAGCTGCTTCAAGCCTTGTCTGTGGCCTTGCAGCGAGAAAACGCAAGAGCCGTGCTCCGGCGCTGCTTGCCCCCAGCAGAAGACGCCTCCTGCTTCGCAGCGCCCTAGTCGGTTGGCCGTGCCAACGTCCACGTCTTGCACCAGCCAGCGCCTGAGTGAGTGATGCCTTTTTTATTTAAGCTTGTCTTTCTCGGGCAAACTCTTGTTGCCTTCTGGCGGCTGCTTCCCTTACCTGCGCCTTCCCTGCCGAAGGGCAGGAAGGTTTTTCGCAGGCAAGTGACGCGACAGCCCTTTTGCCACGGCAGTTGGGCACTTTGCATTCCAATCGCGTTGCCCTGCTGGCATCGCTGACTTTGCCTGCTTGGTCGCCCATTTTTCCTTGCCGTTTTTGCCTCTCATTGTAAACTTTGACAATATAGCCCATCAAATGATGGGACATTATCGTCATTCCAATTACCTTATCTTGGACTTCATCCGGCTTCCGTGTGCAGTATATACCAGGGAATTAGCTTTGGCTTGCATGGATTGACGCGCCGTCCGAAGATCTAGCGCCTAACGCGGCCATGTTATCGACAGAAAAAAGATCACGTTCATGATAAATCAGAAGAATTTCTGTGCAATCGGTTGCCGCTATTCTTGTGTTGCCTCCTTTCAGTGGAAGCTACATTATTGCACTTGCCGCAGTCGCTTGGCAGGTCCAGCACGCTGCGATGTCGTCATCTTTGCTAGTATTGTTGCAGCTGATGGTGCTCATGTGTCTGTTATCAATCTGTGCTTCTGAAACTAACAGTCTTCATAACAACCGAAATTTTCTGTTGTTCTGCCAGGTACCGACTTCATCGCTCAGAATTGCTGTTCCCAAGCATCATGTTCGAAAGCAGTAGTCGCATCTTTCTGTAGCCAGGTAGCTTTCCATCTTCATCCCGCCCATGCCGCCGCTCGGCTCGTGGAAAAAAAATAAAAATAAACGTGCCTGCGGACCTAGCATACATACTCATATAAATACCATAATATTCATATGAATATATATATGAATATATATATACACATATACATCCATATATCCATACATCCATACATCCATACATCCATACATCCATACATACATACATAGATACATATATATATATACATACATACATATATGCATGCATACATGCATACATATATACATACATTATATACATTACATACATTACATACATTACTTACATACATACATACATACATACAACACAACTTGTCCATACACAACTTACTCACACTTACTCTTCCACACACAACTTGCTCCACACCAATCCTTCACCATCTCTTTTCTCTTTCCTGCCTTCCCCATGCCATCTTTACCTTTCTTTTGCTGCCTGTTGGAAGAAATTGACATGTGGGGTTATCCGATCCTTTAATATTATGGCACAGAGTTTCAAACACCAATGTTGAGTAAATGAGCATGCCGGTTGAGCGTGGGAATGAATCGCAATGCCTTTGACTTGCCTGCTCAAGTTGATAGGGGGTGGCAGACCATGGCGACGCTTGGATCCGCGGCTTATTTCCTGCTGAAAGGGGCTGGTGGCGTTTCTCACAAGCTGGTTGGACGAATAGTGGAGGCTAGCGAAGATTCTGTTGTGGTGGCATTATTGAGTTCAGAAGTCCCAGCTGGCATCTCCCAAATTTTGACCGTGCCTGCAGCCAGCTCACAGCCCAGTTTGACTTTCTTGAGGATAGCCACCAGTGATTTCTCTTCAGTGACCCCGGCAGGATGGCCCGCTGCAAGTCACCTTCCCAAACAAGCCATTTGCTTGGCTGCTTGGCAAGGCCTCGAAGATCCTTCTTTGGTGAGCAGCGAAGCCGAGAAACCAGTGGCGAAGGTCAAAGGAGTTTCCAAAACAGTGCAAGAAGATATGGCCCGGCTTCGCAAGACTCTCACCCCAGACTCCGACGAAGACACAGAAGAGTCCTCAGAGGATGGCGAAGGGGGTCTCCCTTTTCCCAAGACCATTGGGTTGCTAGCCCCGGGTGCCAAGGGAGCAATCACTTCCAAAATGGGGGTCGAGCCGAAGCCAAAGAAGAAGGAGACGGATCCTTCCGCCGCCCTCATGACTATGATGGAGCAAGGGTTGGCTCAAGGCCAAAGTCCCGCCGACCTGATGCCTATGATGATGATGAGCTTCATGCTGAACCAGCAGACCCAGCAAGGCCGCAAGGGGCGCAAGTCGTCGGCAAAAAGCAGCGCTTCCACCGACCATGGTGGTTCCAGCTCCGAGAGCGACAGCGACAGCGATGCCATCTCTGGAAAAGGGATGAAAGCTGTGGTGACACTCCATCGCCTGCACCGGCGGATCAAGCGTCGGCCAGGCAGCATCTGCAAGAAGTTCGAGAAGGAGATCACCACCGAGTTGGGGATTGTGCCCGGCCAGCCTTGGACTCTTCGTCAATGGCTGGCCAAACAGCCCTGGGGGAAGTTCCGTGGAATCTACAGGTGCGCAATCCAGGATGCCATTGCCTACGAATATCTACGCAACGGTCAGCACGAAGTGGCGGCTGCTCAGCTAGCTCAGAACATGAAGTCGAAGATCCAAAGTGTGCTGCAAGGTGGGGACTGGAGTGCGGCCTGGCTTCTGACAGGCATAGCCGACCCACTCACGAAGAAGGAGTGGGGAGGAACGCAGGAGGAGATGGCCGTAGTCAGCGAGTATGTCAACGCCTTGGCCAAGCTGAAGAAGAAAGTGAAAGAAGCCAAGGATGCCAGCCAGGCCGAGGAGGGAGATTAGAATCCCATCCTTCAGCATCTTCAGTCACTTTGGTTGATTTCAAGAAGTTTTTGCATGACCAGCTTAAGGGTCGCTTGGATCCCTTGATGTCTGGATGCTCCAAGAATTCAAAGTTCGTTAGTTATTACGCCTGGCTTGAAAGTGCTCATGGTGCGTTGTCCATTGTGGCGGACAGCTCAGCAGCTCCTCTTTTTCCCTGCTCTCTACCTTACCCGGAGGCGTTTTACTCTGAAGGGGCAATCAGTGGCTTTTCTTCTAGGACCACGTGGGCACGTCGCTACCTCAATTCGTTTGTGGCTTGGTGCAACTATGTGGAACTGGGTTGCCCTGATTGTAGGGAAGGAGTGTGTGAGCCGCCAGTCACCTATCAGTCTGAGGCTTTTGCTCGGAGGTTTGCTGATAGATGGCTGGGCGAGGTGGAGGAATTCGGAAGCCTTGACCTTTTGAGTGGGACTTTGGAGTTACAAGGCGGCCGGTTTGCAGTGGAACAAGCTTTTGATTTGGTGAAGTGTACAGCTGCTGGCTATTTTAGTGAGGCCGGCGCCAACCTGTCGGGAGCTTTAGAGGTGCAAGTGGATCGTGTGGCGATTCCTGAAGCGGCTGGAACAGTGAACCCTGCAAGCATTTTGCCGGCAGATCGAAAGGCAGTCTTTGAGAATCTGGAGTCGTTGCGTCGGCCTGAGCCCTTGTGGGATCCGGTGGTGCCCTCTTGTCACCGTGTTGCCCCTCAGGAGGAGATTGGGTTGATGCGGAAATTGTTGAAACACAAGATGGTTGTGTTGGTACGGGAATGTGATCTCCCCAAAGATTCTTCGGGTCGTTTGTTAAATTCGGGTTTGTTTTGCGTCCCCAAAAACGAAGTTGAAGATCGCCTGATCTTAGATCGACGCCCACAGAATGCCACTATGAACAGATTATCGTGGGCAAAGCTGCCAGCTGGTGCTTGTTTTTCCCGGTTATTGTTGCAGCCAGACGAATACCTTCGGGGGTCGGGAGATGATTTAAGACATTTTTATTATTCTCTGGAACTCCCCTCCAATTGGATTAGGTATAACTCTGTTGGCCGTATTGTTGATCCTATTCTGGTGCGCGAATTTGGATATGATACTGCTTATCGATATAGAGCATGTTTTCGAGTCCTTGGAATGGGCGATCGGAATGCCTGTGACATCGCACAAGCGACGCATGAGGCCTTGTTGGAGAGCGCTGGTCTTCTCACTCACAGCACAACACTTATTTATGGAGAACCTGTACCCCCAGGGCCCATATATGAGGGAGTGTATTTGGATGACCTGCTGGTGGTTCAGAAATGCAAGATCGAGGAACCAGTACCTCTTGACGGGTCTTTTGTTCCCCCACCGCTCAGCTCCGATGACCAGGATCAGCGGCGTGTGCAACAAGCTGAAAAGGCTTATGCTGAGGTGGGACTCCCGAGAGCTGTGCACAAAGCATTCCGAGGTGAAACTGAATTCAAAGCATGGGGGGCTGAAATACATGGTATCCGTGGGACGGCTGGTGCCCCCCTTTTGTTTCGACAGCAGGTTTGGTTGCTTCTTTGTCGGGTTGTCAAATTGGAGTTTTGCACCAAACATATTTTACAGAAGCTGTTGGGGTACCTTTGTTTTGCTTTCCAGTATCGGCGTGAGCTCTATTCTTTGCAGCATCATATTTACAAGTTTTTGCAGAAGATGCCCAACTCTGGTTGGCGATCTTTGCCAGGTTTTATAGTGGATGAACTGCGATCGATGGGACTTCACTTAGCCTTTGCGTTTTGGGACATGAGACATCAAATTTCCCCTTCAATATTGAGTACCGATGCCACGCCCACGTCAGGTGGAGCTGCCCGGACCGAAGTGTCCGACCCTTTGGCCGCTGAACTTTGGCGGCGGAGTGAAGTACGTGGGTCAGCTGTGCGTCTAGATGAAAGTGACCTTCACCGCATGTTGAGTGAGTGGGAAGCTCCTTCAGAACCTTCTGCATGGGCTAGTGTATTGGGTAGAACACTTCATTGGAGGCCAACTAGTTCTTACACTTTCCGGCAAACCAGTCATATCAACTTGCAGGAAGCACGTGCCGTGAAAAATGAGGTTAAGAAATTAGCCCTGGAGGAGGAGTCCTGGGGAAAGATCCAGGTGAGCCTGAACGACTCTCGTGTGGTGTGCGGTGCCTTCACAAAAGGGCGTTCAAGTTCTTTCAAGCTCAACGGAATTTTGAGAAGCATGGTGCCATATTTGGTCTTTGCGCATTTGGTATTATCGTTTATTTGGGTGGAGACGGGTGCCAACCCAGCGGATTATCCCAGCAGATTCAACCCTATTCCGCCGCCCCTGCCTTGTCCTATGTGGCTGAGAAGCTTTGGGATGGGTATTCGTAGGAATATTGGTTGGGAACTTTTTGCAGGCTCAGCGAGGTTAACTTCGGCCCATATACATGCTGGTATACATATGTTGGACCCGGTGGATATTATATATGGTTCTGATGTGCTGTCGCCCAATATTGATGATACTATACTGATGCGCTGTCGCCCAATATTGATGATACTATACTGATGCGATTGCTTCTTTGGCTATGGATGGCTCCTCCCGGTGGTAGTTTTTCTCCTTTGCGGAATTTGGATCATGGTGGCCCCCTGCGACCTAGAGGCAACCCCCAAGGTGATGAAAGTAACTGGGAAATAGCTCGGGGGAACCAACTTTGGAGGCGAGCTTTGGAATTGGCTCATACTTGTCTATCATTGGGTATTTTCTTCTTCATTGAACATCCTCGGGGAAGCAAAGCATGGCAACTTCCTGAAACCCGTCGTTTGATGAATCGTCCCGGGGTCTTCTTGGCGGAAGTTCACTGGTGTATGTATGATGAGAACCGCGTAGGCGACCCCAACAAGAAACCTACTCGTGTTTTGACTTCTGCTCCTTGGTTCAAGAAGTTGGTTCGGGTGTGCGACCGTAGTCACCATCATGGTCCCCCTTTAAGAGGGAAGAGGGCAAAGTTGGCGGGAGCATATCCCTGGGGCTTTTGTCGGTTGCTGGCACAGGCTTGTAGTGAGTGGCAAGGATGGTGAGGTTACGCAATGCAGGTTTGTCAAGAGAGTATCGTCGAAATCGTCGCGATGCTGGAATATGGTTGCTTAACTTTGTGGCTAGTTTGGGACAAAGACTACACGCAAAGATGCCTTCTTACAAGATTGACTCTTGGTTGGAATTGGGTGTTCAACGTGCTTTTGACGAAGGTGTGAAGCTATACTATGTGACTCTGGGTGTCTTGTCTCTACAACAAAAACTTCATCTCTCTTCGCCCTTGTTGCGGAATACATGGCTGGCTATTAAGGGATGGCGATCGGCTCTGCCTTCCAAGACTCGGGTTCCTATCACTAGCTTTCGACTGGAGTGTGTGGTGATCACAGCATTGGGCAGGTGTGTTTCTACCAGTGGTCTCAGCAAGCGACAGTGGTTAGTGGTAGCTTTGGGGTGGTGGTTGTGTTTTGCATGTTTATTGCGGCCTGGTGAAGTCCTCAATTTGAGACGGCAGGACATTAACCTTCCTGAGTGTGATGCCGATCTGGAAGATGCAGATGCTGTGGTTATTATTAGGCGGCCGAAAACTAGGCGAATCTGGAGAGAGCAGTTTGTCCTGTGTAGTGACAAGAGACTAGTCCGATGGTTGTTTTGGTGGTTGGATGGGATGGCTAGTAGTCAGCTGGTGCTAGGTGTTTCTCGCTATATTTTTGCAAGCAGATTCTCTGACGCCTTATCCCGGATGGGGTTGGAGGATTGCAAGTATACTCTGGGTTCACTTCGCGCGGGTGGTGCAACTCACCATTTCCAACAGCATCGCAACCTAGGCGAGTTACAGTTTTTAGGACGTTGGACAGCAGCGTCAACCTTGCAGCATTATTTGATGGAAGCATTTTCTGCGCACGTGACTTTGCAGGCCAAGGCCAATGTGAGGAGTCAGCTTTCTTTTGTCCATGAACATATCAGCGTTTTGGATCATCCTCCAAAAATTCGGGCTCGAGACTTTTTGAAAACCAGTGGGAGGTGAAATTTGCAGTGCCAGAATTAGAGGCATTGCCTTATTTTACTGAATCTCATCAGAAGTCATGGGCAAAGCCGGAGGAAACCTTCCACGGAGGCCAATTAGCCGGCTCAGGAGTCGGGCGGCGGAAAGTGGAGAGCCACCTTCAAGTCACAAAGCTCTGGCCCCTGAAGTGGCTGAACCTTCCCATGCCCTGACGCGAGCTACAGCTGAAGACAGTACCACTCTGGCGCATGCCGCTGTTCGTGCTGTAACACAAGCTGCAGAAGCATGTGAAGGCATGGAGGTGGAACCGGGTATTAGTATGAACGAAGCTCTTTTGGACCCAGTGCATCGCGCGCAAGCAGCGCGATGGAGAAGTAGTCCCGAACACCGAAAAGTAGCGGCCATTTTGGCCAGGATGATGCAAGCTCTTCATGGGATTCGGCCTGCTTGGATCTCCAGCCCTGGAAGTCAGAACCCACCGGTTGCTGAGCCCTTACCGGTGCGGCGTGCTACCACTGCTGGTTCCCATGGCTCACTCCCAGCTGGAGTCCAGTGGTGCCTCCAGAAGATTCGTGCGTTTTCTTATGGATGGAAGACTTGGTGCCTGATAATGCTGCTCGTCATATTCCCCAAAGTTTTGGCTTCACTGCTAACGCTGATGGTTCGTCTTTGTGTCAGAGCTGGATTCGCTCTTGTAGCTCGCCTGATGAATGAAGTTGGTCGCGAAATGCATGGCTTGGTCCTACATATGACTCAAGCCTCTAACATGCTTGAGGAATGGGTGCTTCTCACCTTGGAGGGCTTGATTTCTGCTCCTGCACCCCAACAAGTACCAGTGCCTATGTCCTCTTCTTCTTCACCTACCTCTTCATTTCAAGTTCAAGGCGAGGGGGCCTGTGGGACATGCCCCCCTCCCTGCCCCCCCTGGAATTTCCTTACTGCTGCGTTAGTGGTTGTGGATATCGCGCTGCATCGCCGGCACCGGGGTGGGGCGGGTTGAAAGATCCAGCTGGATGGATGGATGATTTAATTTGAGATCGTTTCAAAGTGACCTGATGATCCCTATTTGCAACTGTCCAATGATCGTTTCAAAGTGCCGATCTGTACTGGATGGATTTAATTTGAGATCGTTTCAAAATGCTCTGACGATCCCTGTTTGCAACTGTCCAATGATCGTTTCGAAGTGCCGATCCTTTTTGCAAGTATCCAATGAACTTAGAGAACCAGCGATTAGCACAGCCTTGGCGAAAAGAATAGCTGGAGCGCTGCCCAAAGTCAAGGTGATGAATGCAGAGTTTGAATGGCACAGAGTTTCAAACACCAATGTTGAGTAAATGAGCATGCCGGTTGAGCGTGGGAATGAATCACAATGCCTTTGACTTGCCTGCTCAAGTTGACCTCCTCCGCCCCAGCCACCTCCTGGGTTGAAAGATCCAGCTGGATGGATGGATGATTTAATTTGAGATCGTTTCAAAGTGACCTGATGATCCCTATTTGCAACTGTCCAATGATCGTTTCAAAGTGCCGATCTGTACTGGATGGATTTAATTTGAGATCGTTTCAAAATGCTCTGACGATCCCTGTTTGCAACTGTCCAATGATCGTTTCGAAGTGCCGATCCTTTTTGCAAGTATCCAATGAACTTAGAGAACCAGCGATTAGCACAGCCTTGGCGAAAAGAATAGCTGGAGCGCTGCCCAAAGTCAAGGTGATGAATGCAGAGTTTGAATGTAATATTTTAAATATATACACATATTATGTAGATTCGAAACAGAGCAGAGCTCCTGAGCGCCTCATTTGATTTCAGTCAAGGCCACCTGTGGAGCCTCCTCCACCACCTCCAACGCCGGATATGTCGCTTGCCTATGCTAGCCTCAGTTTCTCTTGATCACATGATATCACATGGTCATTTTTTGTTGACATTTCACAACGAACAGAGTATAGTAGTGAAGTAGTGGACACAGACAGAAAACACAAGAAGCGTCGTCCCTTATGATGAAAATTTGGAGGCAGTATATCGAAATCCATTCGCTTCATTGGGAGTCCAAAGGTGGTTTCACTATTGCTGCACTTACAGCCGGTACCAGCGTTCAGGATGGATCCTGGCATGCGGGACATGGGCTATGGCCAGGTGGGGGGCCCTGGGGGCTGAAGCTTTGCAATAGGGGTGAAAGCGCAGACAGATTCAAGACATTTCAAAACAAGCAGGATACAACTGATACAACTTGCGTTTTTTCCCGGTTTGAGCAGAAAAGCAGGACAGATTATTAGCGAATGACGTTGACTACATCAAGGTTGCGCATAGATGTGCTTGAACTATGGCCAGACACGCACGTTGATATTTGGATGGGACCCAAAGGAAGTGTTTGTGTCTGCCATTGAGAGAAAGTAGCTTGATCAGAAACTTGATCAATCCGACAAACCATGCCTTTTGAACCAAGGGCATGGAGGAACGCTCCGTGGTCCTATCCTGAAATAAATCTCCAGAAATGAATCAAGCGGATGGTGGTTTTGGTGATGTCGGATTTGCTTTGATGGTTTTTACGGATTGCAAGATATGGATCCAGATAATGACTTTTGATATGCACTCTTTGTGAAGGAGGTTATTTGCGGGAGTGGTTCTAATTGCGGCGTAAGTATTGAGCCTTAAGACCTTCAAACTAATTACATAGCCACTTTATGGGACTCTTTCAGAGAATTCAAATGGCTGACGCTGATGGATTGCAGATTGATTTCTGGTTGGTGACAATGCCTGCTCTCGCTCAGTATGCTCAGTAAGCTTATGAGCAGCCCTGGGGCATTGTCCTTCGGAAATTGTGCCTCCGGTCCATGAGCATATTTTCACTAGGCAATTTGGATGACCTTAAGTGGTTTCATTGCAATGGGACTGGATCATTTGAGGTCCGAGATATCCTTGGCTTGCCTGGCAATTCCATGAGGCCGCATGTTGTCATGATCAAGTCCCACTTCTGCTAAGATAAGAGTCATGTTACTGTTAATACATGTTAATACAATTTAATACATCATTTTCAAGTTTCATCGCCTAGCAAGCTGAAAAGCGTCTTATGTTTGACAGAACGTGTGTTGTGTTGACATCATCTCGATCACCGCACCAGCTGAACCCTTTGCCTCAGTTTACCGCTGGATGGTCCTCCAGCTGGAAGCTTGGGTGAACGCGCGTCTCCGCAGATTTGGTGTTTCTGGTGCTGAGCGAAGAAAAAGGAGGATGTACGAGAACGTATACCACAGTAACATACAGTAACATTAAAGATCATTAAAGTATGAACATGTGTTAAAATCATTTAAAATCACGTACACACAAAAGATACATGAGCAATCATGAGCACTTATACCTTTATGAAGTAGATTGAACTGGAGAAGTCTGAACAAGTCGCCAACCTCTCAGGCCCCGCCGGTTCCAAGTGCCAACGGCCTCAGTTTGCGAGTTTTGGAATCAGTTTGCGAAAAGGCTATGACATTTTTTTTGGCAAACAAGAGTTTTGAATAGTTTCGAGACTTTTGGAAAGGGGGAACAGACATTCACAAGACGAGTGGGAGAAGAACTTCAGCCCGAAGCCAACTGAGATGCCTTTTGAGGTGATGCCTGGCAGCGCTCAGCCCATGACCTTTGGCGCGTCCCAGCGGAGAATGTCACCGACCCAGGACGAACTCAACGGATTTCCCATGGATTTCGTTGCTTCGGGAATCTCACTGACTGGCAAAACTAGATAGGCAATGATAGGGATGGGCAGCTGGGCATAAAACATTTCTTTGGCTCGGTCAGTTTGGCGAGAGTTTGTGGAAGGTGTGTTCGTTCCACCTGCCTGCTATCACCATTTGTCAGCCAAGGCCGGAGCTCACAACGTTGAAAGGCTTCCTTCGGAGGGGTGCCTTTGACGAGGGGGTCTCAGAGGGACCTTCCCAGAGTCAAGGAATATGGACTTGAGATTTGTAGGATGTTGACAAGACACAAGCATGGCCTTTCGACGTCTTGAGAGCTATGCCGTGCCCATAGTTTGCTACCACTTAAAGCACCAAACGCGAACGGGAATCTCATATCTGCGTTGCAGCTTTGCAATCCTCTCCAAGGATGAAATTCCGCAGACCAAGAAAGATGCTGATTCTGTGCAGAAGATGCTAGAACGGCTACAGGACTGCCACGGGTGAATCGTTGGCCATCAGGAGGTTTGTCTCAGAACAATTGAGCTGGAATGCTGACTTTGCACAAATCATGATCAGACTCGGAAAGCACAGGACACCAGGGCCTTAGTACATGGCAGAGCAGAGCCCATTGCGCAAATTTCCGAGTTTCGGGGGAAACTGAGCAAATCAGGTTTGAGATCGACCGCCGCAGTGATTTCTATTCAAAATCAGTAGATGGCGTGACGGCTCGCGTCAGCGTTTGCGAAGTCCAATGCGTCAACGTTCTCCATGTGTACATGATGAACCCAGCAATTGTATTCATCCCAACATTCTTCATCCGCAGGCGTGGCATTCTTTCAATCTCTACCTCAATATCCCAGTTGGTTTTGCAAATACTTTTTTTCCGGTTTTTCCGGAGTCCATTTGGTCACGAATTTACAGTCCCCAGGTTGATTGAAGTTGTCCACTGACTGCTGTAGAAAGTATTTTTAAAGGAGTCCTTTATTGAGATGGAAGATGAAACTCGGTTGCAACAATATGCAACACATACACAATATTACATAATATATAATAATATAATAATATATAATAATATGTATATTTTTTAAATACCTTAATATAAGCAGCTGCATACACTGTTGCTACCCTGTAGGTGCAGCAGCTCTTCTTGACGCTCCTTGTGTCGCTTTCAGCCAGCATCCTACTAGGCGTCTTCATCCTGTTCGTCCTATTTTGCTTTCGACGACGGAATACAGCGCTTGCCCAGGAAAAAGAGGAAGAACCGCCAGAGACAAAACCGTGCGGTACATCAGACGACGTGCCGTATCCCAAAGTAAGTGTTCTCCAGCAATTCCTGGGGCGGGCAGTTTCTCAGTTATGAAAATTCAGTACATTGTCAGATTCTTTTTGCTCCAGTGAATAAAAACAATGTCAACAAACTTGAACACGACCCTGAAACCATTTGAGGCAGAGGAGCCGACCAGCCCTGCATTGAAGAGTCCACAGGGCATAGTCACATCTGAGCAGCTGCTCTACTGTGCAGTTCAATGTGCAGAACTTCTTTCTCCTCACCTTGCTGACAATGGGACACAGCTTGTGGCGCTGTATTTACAGCCTGGGCCACGACTGATTGCGGCAGTGCTGGGAGTTTGGCTTGCACAGTCTGCTTGGACACCCTTGGATCGGAAGAGTCCCAAGAGAAGGCTGCAAGACTTGGTGAAGCAGATGCAGCCCAGTGCGGTCATTTGTGATGATGATGCACCCTTCAAGCAGCTGGGTATCCCCTTGGTTCACGCCCAGAAACTCAGCTTCAAAGGTTCCAAAAGGATTGCGCAGTGTGAGGAGTCTCTTGAAGGGCTGGCACAGGTGATTTACACGTCAGGCTCTACGGGTACGCCAAAGGGTGTGATGTACACACACAGCCGCCTGGCACATTCCACCCACTTCTTCGCGGAGCAGTGTGGAGTCTCTTCGTCATGCAGGGTCTTGCAGAAGACACCCAACATTTGGTCGGTGTTTCGCCATGAGGTCTACCCTGCACTGTGCAGAGGAGGGCTCATCATCCACCCAGAACCACATAGGGCCAGCGATCCAATACATCTTGCAGAAGTCATCACCTCCAATTCTGTCTCTTTGCTGGTTGCAAGCTCAGTTGAGCGACTAGTTTCGTTGTATATTCAACCTGCAAAGTGATTCATACTGATTCATATCCCCTGAATGCTTTCAAAGCAAACACGCCTCTTTCTGCATGCTTTTTGCTTCCGTTTCCTGCGATAAACATCCAAGCATTGAAGATGTAGGATTTGATATTTGACAGGTGTCAGACACAGCATAATGATACCGAAGAAGCGTGTTCTTTACTGCCAGGTTGCGACGCCGACAGTGCTGGAGCTCATCTTGGACTCTGGAGAAAGCTTGTCCAGTCTGCAACGAGTGGTTTGCATGGGTGAGCCTCTCTCATGGCGGTTAGCAGGCATCCTCATGAAGCAGCTTCCGGCAGTGCAGATCATGAATTTCTACGGCTCGACTGAGACAGAAACTCACCCTGATTAATATCTTACTTATCTATACTTATCTTATGATAATGCCCGGTGTATGATGTGTTAAACAGGAAACACATGGAAACACACCAACGTCTCAAAGCCTCAGAACCGCAACTTTGCAATGGAACACAATGAAGTTCTTTTAGCTTGACAGCCATGTTTCTCACTCCACTCTTTGAATAGCATCACCGAAAATGTCTTTAGACTTTAGACGCCTCTAGTGATTTGGTGCAGGACATTCATGTTTGTACATCTCGGATTTTGTTAGCATGGTTTCTCCACCAAGTGTGAAAACGCTGTGAGGAAAACACAACCTATACGGTGCCTCGAACTTACGGTGATTGGCAAGCAACTTCCGCGGTTCCCGCAGGACAAGCTCAACCTCACGTGTCCGTTCATTTGCTACAACCAGGCTCTATGGATGTCTGTAGCGAAGGCGAGATCTGCTTCGGTGGTGTAATGTCCTCAGGCTATTGGCAACGACCTGATCTCACTGCCATGAACTTTGTCCAGCATCCTGAACTGGGCTTGTTGTATCGCACTGGAGACCTGGGAAAATGGCAACGTTCACAGCTGGTGGTCTTAGGTCGCATTGATCGCCAGGTCAAGATCCGGGGCTGTCGGGTGGAGTTGCTAGAGCTGGAACTGACCTTGCGGCAACTGGTGTTGGATTGTGGCGGTGCTGAATGTGCTGCCGTGGCAGCACAGGGAAGTGATCACTTACAGATTGTGGCCTTCGTTTGCCCAAATCCCGAAGATCCTGACAAACTTGACCTGGAGGTCGTGAACCAGGAAGCTCAAGCAGTGCTTTCACCACAGCTGATGCCTAGCCTATTTGCAGCCTTGCCCAAACTGCCACGCCTTGCCAAGGGAAAGCTTGACTTAATGAGTTTGAAGAGTTTTGCAACAGATGCCCTGGTGAAGCAAGAAAATCAGACAGAATCAGTGGTAGATTCATTGGGAATGTTGCAACACTTGACAAAGTCTCAACTAGAAGAAGATCGGTGGCAACAGAATCAACAGGCCTTCTGGACCCTCCTCGTGATGATTCAGCATTTCAGCGGGATTTTGGGTCATGGAGTTCACAAAAATGGAGATTTCGGATACACCTTTACCTGCCTCCTGGCCTCATTTTGCCATGGCCGGGACATGATTGCCATGGTCCTATTGCTGGGCTTTGCTGATTCTCGGCGTGAGCCAGTGCTGGGCTATCGTGACGGTGCTGCACTCATCACAGCTATAGGGATGACTTTTTGGGCTTCAGGAAACACGGATCTTCGCATCGGAGGCGAGTGGTTTCTTTACACGTACCTTTGGGCTCGCTTGCTGCTGGTAGGCTTCTGTCGTTTGAACTCGGGCCTTTGGCAGGCTGGCTTGATGTTCCTGCTCGCATGCATGTGGCCTGATGATCTTTTCTGGCTTCAGCTGCCTGAAACCTGGCGGGATCACATCACAACACATTCGTCAGGGCTCGACTCGAAAGGCTTGAAGTTCCTAACGTTCTTCATGCCAGCTTGCTACCTCCTGTCGTTCCATGCCACAGCTGCAGGAGCTATAGCTTGGGTCAGAACCAATGGGCGATCTCTGATGGCAAAGGCAGAGGATCGAATGTCCAAATACATGGGTCCAGAGGATCCGAGTGTAGCAGATGCAGCACGATGGAGACTCCATCTAAGCTTCTCCTTATCCTGCTGTACCTTCTTTGTGGTGCTTTCCGTCTTGAGTGGCTGGAGACCAAAGTGGGGACTTGAACCCTTTGCCTATCAATATGGCTTCCAAGCTGCCTACGTGGAAACTGGAGATGATTGGTTTGGACTGAGCCATGCGGTAACCTGGCAGTACATGAACAATCCCTCGCTTGGAACATACCTTGCCTTGTGGATAGGAGAAACCTTGCTATTCATACTGCCAGGGGTTGCAATTGGGCTGGCAATGGTCTACATGCCGTGGCACTTCAAGACTGTCGGTCAGGCCTGCTTTGGCCTGTATGTGTGTCACATTCCAATTGCCTTCTGGCCATCCAGCGAATGGATCCAGCAAATAGTGACACGTTGCATCACGAATCCGAAGTGGTATGATTCTGTCAACCTTCTGATACTTCTTCTTTGGGCTATTACTTGGGCCCTTGCCTTTGCCTATACAGTGGGAGTTTGCTTTCACTATATGCTCATTGCGGTCCTGGGCGAATTGGCCAAGAGACTCCAACCGCCTGAGACAAGTCGCCAGCTGTGTGGTGTTTGACAGCGAAGTGCTATTGGATGTAAATTGCGGGTACTGTGGAACTTGCTGCCGTGCAAAAATATGGATTTGCTAGCAGCAGTTGCAGATTGCAGTCATGTTTTTGTTTGATTTTGTGTGTGCATCCTGGATGGGTCTTGCCTTCTTGCTTGCAATGCAATGCGCTGTGCAGCAATTCCTTGTGGCTTGTGTCAGGGCAATGTCAGCGAAACCAAGCAGTCTGTGCAGCTGCAGGCCTTGTGGGGAACCCACTCTACCAGATCTCACCCAATTCCAACTTGATCTATCTTGTTAAGTCAGTTATTCAGTCGATTTCAGTAATCCAATCATTCTAAATATTTTGACACAGTGACTTTAGTGAGCAGAACTGTTGGAGAATTCTTTTAGACCACAAACCTGTTGTAGTGAGCGGCATTCGCTGACTTTGTGTTTGATGCGATATGATGCGATCACCTCTCAAATCGTCTGTGTAATGTAAGAAAATGGGCGTGAGTGCTTTGTAATTTTGCAAACAGCACTCCACTAAGTGCTTCAAATACATCAAGCATCATCCAATTAGTGCAATCTTAAAGCTGTGAAATGCTGTGACATGTTGTGAAATGTTTTGACATGTTGTGACATGTTGTGAAATGTTGTGACATGTTGTGACATGTTGTGACATGTTGTGACATATTGTGAAATGTTGTGAAATGTTGTGAACTGTTGTGAAATGTTGTGAAATGTTGTGACATGTTGTGAAATGTTGTGAAATGTTGTGAAATGTTGTGAAATGTTGTGAAATGTTGTGACATGTTGTGACATATTGTGAAATGTTGTGAAATGTTGTGACATATTGTGAAATGTTGTGACATGTTGTGACATGTTGTGACATATTGTGACATGTTGTGACATATTGTGAAATGTTGTGAAATGTTGTGACATATTGTGAAATGTTGTGAAATGTTGTGAAATGTTGTGACATGTTGTGACATGTTGTGACATATTGTGACATATTGTGAAATGTTGTGAAATATTGTGAAATGTTGTGAAATATTGTGAAATGTTGTGAAATGTTGTGACATGTTGTGAAATGTTGTGAAATGTTGTGAAATGTTGTGAAATGTTGTGAAATGTTGTGACATGTTGTGAAATGTTGTGACATGTTGTGACATGTTGTGACATGTTGTGAAATGTTGTGAAATGTTGTGACATATTGTGAAATGTTGTGAAATGTTGTGACATGTTGTGACATGTTGTGAAATGTTGTGAAATGTTGTGACATGTTGTGACATATTGTGAAATGTTGTGAAATGTTGTGAAATGATGTGAACAGTTGTGAAATGTTGTGGAATGTTGTGAAATGTTGTGAAATGTTGTGAAATGTTGTGAACTATTGTGAAATGTTGTGACATGTTGTGACATGTTGTGACATGTTGTGACATGTTGTGAAATGTTGTGAAATGTTGTGAAATGTTGTGAAATGTCGTGAAATGTCGTGAAATGTTGTGAAATGTTGTGACATGTTGTGACATGTTGTGAAATGTTGTGACATGTTGTGACACGTTGTGACATGTTGTGAAATGTTGTGACATGTTGTGAAATGTTGTGAAATGTTGTGAAATGTTGTGAAATGTTGTGAAATGTTGTGAAATGTTGTGACATGTTGTGACATGTTGTGACATGTTGTGACATATTGTGAAATGTTGTGAAATGTTGTGAAATGTTGTGAAATGTTGTGAAATGTTGTGAAATGTTGTGACATGTTGTGACATGTTGTGAAATGTTGTGACATGTTGTGAAATGTTGTGAAATGTTGTGACATGTTGTGACATGTTGTGAAATGTTGTGAAATGTTGTGAAATGTTGTGAACTGTTGTGACATGTTGTGACATGTTGTGACATGTTGTGAAATGTTGTGAAATGTTGTGAAATGTTGTGAAATGTTGTGACATGTTGTGAAATGTTGTGACATGTTGTGAAATGTTGTGACATGTTGTGACATGTTGTGACATGTTGTGACATGTTGTGACAGAAATGTTGTGAAATGTTGTGAAATGTTGTGAAATGTTGTGACATGTTGTGACATGTTGTGACATGTTGTGAAATGTTGTGACATGTTGTGACATGTTGTGACATGTTGTGAAATGTTGTGAAATGTTGTGAAATGTTGTGAAATGTTGTGAAATGTTGTGACATGTTGTGACATATTGTGAAATGTTGTGAAATGTTGTGACATGTTGTGACATATTGTGAAATGTTGTGAAATGTTGTGAAATGTTGTGAAATGTTGTGAAATGTTGTGAAATGTTGTGACATGTTGTGACATATTGTGAAATGTTGTGAAATGTTGTGAGCATGAGTCCGACACATTTTGAGATCACCAAAGTCGTTGGTAGATCGTTCCTCGTTGGACAGGCACAGATGGGCATTCGCCCTGGTCCGCCAAAGGCGCGTCAGCTGAAGAGGTTTTCGCGAAAGGCGCCTCGTTTTCCGGCGATTTTGTTTCGCCAGGCGGCGTTCCCTGGTGCCATGCCTGAGGCCACAGCCTGCACTGCCTGCATCTTCGAATTTTGGAATACAATACATAAGAAAGAGATGTCAAGAGATGTCAAGAGATGTCAAGAGATGTCAAGAGATGTCAAGAGATGTCAAGAGATGTAGAAAGTAGAGTTTATAACGTTCTATAATGACACATATATAATAATGCATAATAAAGTTGATAAAGAACGATAAAGAGATATAAAGTGATATAAAGAGCTTGCGGTTTCCAGAACTCGGAAGTTGTTTTTGAGTTCCAATCAATCTTAGATGAACAGGCTGGCGATGACCCTCGAACTCAGGCGGACTTCCAATTTGAGGCGGGGATTTGATTGAATTGCTCAATATTGAATTGCCTCTTGGAAGATTATGCTGCAGAAGCTCTTTAAGGCGAATGGTACTGGCGAAATTTTTTATCTCACACTTACTAACTTACAACCTTGAAAGATTGAAAAAAAGCAGGACTACTTAGTCTGACTCGAATAAAGTGAGCAGATGGCAACTCCACGTGCAAGTCAGGGAATCTAGATTTTGATAGCTCTCTCCACATGAAAGCAACCCACAAACATCATTTGTTTCTTTATGTTTTGGTTTTTGTTTGCATTTGTTTGAATTTTCAGTTTTTCTCTTCTCAGACTTCTCAGACTTCTCAGACTTGCAAGGCTTTGCTCTCCAGAGCGCAGATGGCGAATGACCAGCTGTCCCTAGATCACGTCGCACGAGAAATCCTTATCAGGTCAGGGTGGGGATGGTCGCCAATTGGTAAAGATGTTGTTCGTCGCCAGAGGCAGTTTACATTGAAAGGCACCAGCCACAGGTTGATAAAATCAAGGGAGCATTGCCGAGAAGCTGCATGCAAGTCTGTTCCCTGCCCTTTTTGATGTCTGTGAAAACCTATGTGACAGGTTCCCATCCTTCACAGCGCAGCAGACAATAGATCTGATGCAGAAGATGGAAACTGCTCCAGTGCAGGGTGCCTCAGAAAATCTTAGTTCAGTCGATCCACCGTGACCATCTGTGACCATGTTGTCCTCACACCATGGAAGCTCTCAGCACATCGCAGCACGCAGTGCTTTGAGATGCTTTGACTTTAAAGGCTGCGCGATCACCAGAATGGGGATTTCCTCGCGGAGCTTTGCAGGAACTGAGCTGTAGAGTGCTGGCAGTTTCAAGTATTATGCTTGTCCAAGAAATGGTATTTTGGGCAGTTGAAGAGTTTTCGTATTTGGACTTCAACAATCTCAACGCAACAGGCTCTCCGCCTCAAGACTTCGGGAGCTCAGCAGTATGCAGGCCTTTCAGATCTGCGATCAGGGCATCGTGGGTCATGCGACTGGATTTACCGCATCTCTGAATGTTTGAGCTTTACGGTCCCTGTCGTTCCTAAGAGCTTCTTGGTCCACTCACTGCACAGACAGTTTGTAAAGCGATGATGTCAGATATGCTGTTATATTATAATTCCTGGAAGAAGAAATAATTGCCCAGAATGCCTTTGCTTTTAGTTGCCGAAGGGTCAAAACATGTCGAGCTCCGTAACCACAGAACTAAATTCTTGCTGCTGCGATGTGCCAGTTCACGACTGCTTGCAGCACAGTAGCTGCATGGTGGGGCGCCCAAGCTCTTTAGCTGTGAAGGTGCATTGGTTGGTTATGGTGCAAAGTGAGAGAGCGAGAGAGAGAGAGAGAGAGACAGAGAAATATGTGACGATACGTGCGTGTATATATATATATATATATATTTATAATTACATATATATATATATACACATTATGTATGTGTATACGCACCATATTTGGGTTGCTTTTTTGAGAAAGATGGCGAGATGTCGCATAGTCTCCTTGTTGCACAGAATTACATAAGACTTTCCAAGTCAGGGCGGAGTGTAGACAGTGTAGACGTCAAAATCAGTCTTGAGATGTCTGAAATGCCCAGGATATCCCAGGATGTGGATCAGTCTGGATGTGAAGAAACCAGAAACTGGTCCAAAACCTGGTCCAAAACCTGGTGAAATGAGGTCAGCAGACCCAAAGCGACGGCGAGCCCCTCTCTTCGCACAGCTGTCAAAGGTTGGGGAAAGAAATGTCAGCTGTTTCTGAAGCATCAACACATGTGTGGTCTGACAAAACCACGTTCAATTTGGTCGGGAAAACGCATTCTCAATGTTCGTCCAGGTTCTTTGTTTCTGCATATTTTTGAACCTTGAGCAAACCCGCTTTTGATGGAACGGCATTGCGCACTCTGCATTTTGTCCCGACAAACATGTATATATCTGGGATATATTTGGAGGATATTTCGGCGTCAGACCGAGGCATAGTGTCCAACTATGTCAAATTGTTTGCCGGTTTACAGACGGTGGGCAAGTACCAACACTTTCACTAAGAAAAGAACACATCACAAACATTTGCAAACATTATCTAACAGCAAAAAATCGAGCATGCATCAAACACATGTAATGTCACCTGCGAGTTTCGGTGCGCAAGGTCTTCTTTACGGCCGCAGCCAATGAGATGTCCTCCCGACTAATGACCTTTGCGTCAGGAAT